GTTCTGAGCCCTGTTCTGCCTGCCCCTTCTCGGATTTGTTTGCCTGACTGCTGGATTTCCTGGTTTTGACCCTGCCTGTCCCTGACCCGATTAAACTGAACATTCTAAACACTGGTTGTATCTGTGTCGTGCTATTGGGTTCTGATCTGTACCTGTGAGCGTGACACACTCACATCTGTTTGGATCCATGCTGGGTCTGGTCCATAGACTGGTCTGATCCTGACGTTTGAAAAGGGAGGCAGGGGAAGCTAAATATAGCACTGGTGTTGCTACAGGTAGTTAGCCCAGCCTTCTTGCTAAACCAGCTCCTTGAGAAAGAGCAGGTATACTGCCTTCCTCTGTGCTTAACTCCTGCCTATGTCAGGCTGATCAGGTCCGAGCTCTTTTACTCTCAGCTTTCCCTCCAGTGTCCTCCTGGGTGTTTCTTCAAGGGATTAAACATCATTTTCCTTCTGCATATTCACTATCTAGTTTTGTTTACACTCCGTCTCCGTCTAACTCTCTCTCATTCAAACGTCAATCACTCACTCAGGCCTCCTGCTGCCCCCTAGTTGTTGGAGGTGTCAACAGCTGCTTTGGGCGCAGTTTGGTGCGCCCCGAGCTACTCCTATCTGTTGAAGAGCTGCTCCTGTCTGTTGAAGAGCTGCTCCTATCTGTTGAAGAGCTGCTCCTATCTGTTGCATTAAAGAGCTGCTCCTATCTGTTGAAGAGCTGCTCCTATCTGTTGAAGAGCTGCTCCTATCTGTTGAAGAGCTGCTTCTATCTGTTGAAGAGCTGCTCCTATCTGTTGTATTGAAGAGCTGCTCCTATCTGTTGAAGAGCTGCTCCTATCTGTTGAAGAGCTGCTCCTATCTGTTGAAGAGCTGCTTCTATCTGTTGAAGAGCTGCTCCTATCTGTTGAAGAGCTGCTTCTATCTGTTGAAGAGCTGCTCCTATCTGTTGTATTGAAGAGCTGCTTCTATCTGTTGAAGAGCTACTCCTATCTGTTGCATTGAAGAGCTGCTCCTATCTGTTGAAGAGCTGCTCCTATCTGTTGCATTGAAGAGCTGCTCCTATCTGTTGAAGAGCTACTCCTATCTGTTGCATTGAAGAGCTGCTCCTATCTGTTGAAGAGCTTCTCCTATCTGTTGAAGAGCTGCTCCTATCTGTTGTATTGAAGAGCTGCTCCTATCTGTTGCATTGAAGAGCTGCTCCTATCTGTTGCATTGAAGAGCTGCTCCTATCTGTTGCATTGAAGAGCTGCTCCTATCTGTTGAAGAGCTGCTCCTATCTGTTGTATTGAAGAGCTGCTCCTATCTGTTGAAGAGCTGCTCCTATCTGTTGAAGAGCTGCTCCTATCTGTTGTATTGAAGAGCTGCTCCCATCTGTTGAAGAGCTGCTTCTATCTGTTGCATTGAAGAGGTACGGACCGTGCATGCACCACTTATAACGAGAGTCAATGGGCAAAGATTTCTGCGCCCCAAGCAGGAAACACGTGACTTATCAGTAACTTTAGACATCGTAAAACAATTTTTATGCATATTTTATTGTAGATTATACATTTAACTGACACCATATAATATGTACCTTGTTCATAAAAAAAAAAACGTTTAAACTTTTTTATTTTTTTAATGACAATCTAGAATGTGGGAAGAGGTGGGGCGGCGCCCCTAGCCCCCCTATGGGCCGGCCACCACTGCTACTACTACTACTGCTACTACTACTACTACTACTACTAATAATAATAATAGACTCTGCAGTAAACATAAACTTGACCAAAAACACCAAGTTCATTCTGGCAAGAGTCTCACCACAAATGGAAACAGTTCAGCACAATAAGCACAATAAACAGCTTTGTTCAAAGAAGCTACATAAGTCTATAATATATATATATATGAAACCTTCTACATCATCCTTCATCTACATGAGAGATTGCTCTTTACAGAACAAATCCTTCAACGCTTGATTGTGTCTTTGGGTAAACTGCATAGCAGAGGTGGGACCAAGTCATTGTTTTGCAAGTCCGAGTCAAGTCTCAAGTCAGGATGGGCAAGTTCAAGTCAAGTCCAAGTCCTTTACTTTGACAAAACGAGTCTTAAACAAGTCATTATGTGCTTTTCAACAAATGTAATGACACCGATCAACAGAATAATACTTAATAATCAAACTGCTCTTTATTAGTCACATTAATAATTTAATAATCCATTCTCTCTCTGCTGGTAAAGTAACGTGTTTGTCTTCTATTGTAAGAGGGATCAGTAAGGTAAGGCTACCGTGACGGTTTGATTCAGAAGGAGTTCAATGTATAAGATCCCTGATGTTGAGGTGACCAGAATGTTTATTTCCACTGTGTACAGCATGTTATAAGGGACCCACAATCTATCTTTATGCAAGGGATAATGTGCAGCGAGGCGTCTCTATGGGGAAAAGAACACCTGAATCTACATCCCTCTGCAGGTGGTACTTTAACTATATTTTGATGCTAATACTTTTGTACTTTTACTTGAGTAACATTTTGAATGCAGGATCTTTTATTGTAACCGAGTGTTCCTACACTCTGGTACTTTTACTCAAGTACAAGATCTGAACTTCTCCCACCTCTGGCAATAAATCCTGAGTGGTTACCAAATAAAAACCCTGCTCTGAAGGTTATTTTCATTTGACAAATCCTGCACTCAGCTTTGCTTTCTCCAATATCATTGAAATGCAGCCAGATGCTGCTTCTTTTTTCGGTTTTCGCACATTTCTTGACTTTTTCCGACGCGCTTGCATTTAACTCCGGCTCCCCGTCTCCCTGTGGCTCTGTAGCTGGCCTGTACCACTACACCTGCTGTCTTTGGAGCGTCTGCCCCCCACCCTTCTTTCACATAATGGTATGATCCTAGTGTGTCCTCGCATATGATTGGCCGCATGGTGGCTCAGCAAAATAAAGTCCCGCCCCTGCCTGCATGGATTCTCAGCAAGAGTAGGTGCGGCTGAAGATTCTGCTCTCCCCGACGGGAGTCTGCTCTTCTAACGGCATCTCGCGATCGGCGTGTTGGAGACCCCTGAATTAAATGATCAAGTCACCTCAAGTCAGAAGGCTCGAGTCCAAGTCAAGTCCCGAGTCATTGGTGTTCAAGTCCAAGTCGAGTCGCAAGTGTTTTGTGATTTTGTCAAGTCGAGTCCAAAGTCATCAAATTGGTAACTCGAGTCTGACTCGAGTCCAAGTCATGTGACTCGAGTCCACACCTCTGCTGCATAGTGATCAGGGTAGGAATTTCACGGCGGCCATGACGGCCATAGCCGTCGTTGCCCCTCGGTCTGGCCGTTATGCCCCACAAATAATTGTACGTCCTACGGCCACCACGGCCTTTGTGCCCCTCACACTGTTACAATCTCGAAGTTGCTTTAAAAGCGTCAGAGCAGTGGTCTGGTCTCTGAACTGCATTATGCTGCGTTCACACCGGACGCGATGCGAATATTCACATTGCTCTAATCGCTGGAGTTTCACCGCGGCTGTCAGCTGTGTTTACTCCTGTCATTCAAACAGGACGCGCTGGAGAGGGGGCGGGGCTTATATCCATGTAAATACTGGTAGAAACCAACTACAACAACATTAACATATTTTACCGTGATTTAATTGTAATACACGTTTCAAAATGATGCAGAAGTAACTAAATACTGATAACGGTTAATAAAAACCATGAATTAATGCTTTGACAAGTGTGCAGACAGACGGCAGGCGAAAACCTTTTAAAATGCGTGTTTTCTGAATGGAGATCGGATCGATCAGGCTAAACTAACGTTGTAGCTGCTCCGTCCACACTCACAACAACGTCCTAAAATCAGAAATAAAGCAGCGACTGTATTCGCCATGACACACAGTTTGTGGTTTGTAGTTCTTTAACTTTTGTCCAGTTTCTGAACAGATATGAGGAGCTGTGAGCTAACGGCTGATGTTTTGGTTTTCTGATTCAACGTCAGTGGCGGAGATCCTCACTGCTGATTGGCTACCGCGATAACGCGTCACGCGAATTTGACGCTCGAGTTGAATGGATTAAAGAGACGCTCACACACACACACACACACACACACACACACACACACACACACACACACACACACACACACACACACACACACACACACACACACACACACACACACACACACACACACACACACAGAGTTTGACCCTTGAAGGCTGTTTCTTCTGCTCTGAAATGGAATATATTTGTTACATATTAATAGAATTTTAGATTTTTTTATTTGATTTCGGATTTGTGAATGGGAGAAGTAGTAGATAGAAAACATACCAAACACTAATCATTTTATATACGGTAATACTATATATGATTATAATGTTTGACATTATTGATATAAAAAAAGTGATTTGTTTTCCATGTCATTTGTGTGTTTTTCAGAAAAGTGAAGTTATTTATTTGTAAGTTCCAAATCCACATTTTTCCCTCAATGGCCTTTGTGCCCTGGCATGTGGCCTTTGTGCCCTAACAAAATGTGTGACACCAAAGTGTGTGTGCGTGCGCTGCTCCTTCTGAATGCATGTCTCCACCCGGGCTTCAATGTAACCTTTGTAGCCTGACCCAAACTGTACTATGGCCTTGGGATGCTCAATGAACCAACCTTGTATCCACATTGCAACATGGACTGGTGCAATATCAAAGATCACAAAGTTTTGTGGAGCGGCAGAGAACAGAACACTATACAGACTTCATCAAAGATCCTTGTTTGGTTCAGATCGTGTCAATCACACCATGATCATTTAAATATACGTTTATTACTGATGTGCATCATCTTTCAAAAATAATTGTTGGAGCTATACAATGATTTATGTTATTTAGTAATTAAACATTTATTTTCTAGCTGTTTTTTGGTTGTATTACATTTATCGTAATTAATATAGTTGAAGTAATTCTTTAAGCTTTTATTTTGAAGGAGGTTTCGGGCACCTGGTGATGATGTTTATCTTGGACACAGGGGTTGGTTGAGATAATCACGGGAAAGGAAAAAGGTGAAACCATTGTTCTCGATGAATTGTATTATTGGAATACAAGAAAATAAAAAACAAATGAACACAGACGTTCAGTGACATTGTTCCTGCCTTAAGATTGGCGTGCCCCAACGTTTTAAACCCAGTTTTAGGTTTTATTTCTTTGATTAGCCACAAAAATGATCATTCCTTTTTATATATAGAATCATATCACATGCATTCATTATTTCCCCTCAAATCATTCGGCACTATAATGGACCCCCCCGCAAAACTGTATATCTATGGTATCCAATCCAAAGCTCTTCTTCATGTGTCTGTCACGCTGAGTGTGTTCTTTAGTGGACTCACCCTGTGACGCTCCACCTTTCTGATCTGCCTGTGCTGACTTCAACAGCAATAAAGACACACCTGGGCAACGCTGAAACATCCCATAATGCAACATGCCTGTGTGTCGGTGGGGCTCGAGTGTGTTTTGGAACTAAAACAGACTCAGGCCAGATATTTTACATTTGTTCTACAAGCTAACCCACCACTTGTTGACAGGTGAGCACCCCCCCCCCCCCCCACGGAGTCTGATGGAGCATCACGCTGCGTCCTTGGAGCCCTCCCCCGGTCGCAGGACCTGCTGACCTCCGCTGCGCTTCCTGCCCCCCCCGCCTGGAGAGTGCAGGCTGGACGCTGACATCTGGATGCTCCTCGGCCCAGGACTCACCGCGGTGGGGAGGAGGGAGGAGGATGGGGAGGAGGTGGGGGACAGAGAGGAGGAGGTGGAGGAGGTGGAGGAGGAGGAGGGCGAGGATGAAGAGTAGGACGAAGAAAAGTAGTAGCTGTGTGGGGAGGTGGAGGTGAAGGCAAGGGGGGGCTTGCGTCTGCTGCTGCTGCGGGGGGGCCCCTGGGCAGGGGGGACGTCAGCGTGGGATGGCAACAAGAAGTGGCTAGACGAGGGGAGGAGACGACTCAGATTCAGAGACAGGATTAAAGACTTGTGAGGAGGAGGGGAGAAGGAGAAGGAAGGAGAGGGGGAGCGAGGGGGAGAGACAAAGGGAGAGGAAGAGGAGAGCTGGGCCGAGGAAGGAGACCACGGACACTTTGAAGGGCTAGGAAGAAGAGAGGGTTTCCCAGAGGAGGGGGTCTGAGAGGCTCTTTCCCTGACAGCCTGTGGACACACACACGCACACGCACACGCACACGCACACACACACACACACACACACACCGAGTCAGCAGAAACACACACACACACACACGCACACGCACACGCACACGCACACACGCACACGCAGCGAGTCAGCAGAAACACACACACACACACACACACACACACACGCACACGCACACGCACACACACGCACACGCACATGCACACACACACACACACACACACAGCGAGTCAGCAGAAACACACACACACACACACACACACACACACACACACACACACACACACACACACACACACACACACACACACACACACACACACACACACACACACACACACACACACACAGCGAGTCAGCAGAAACACACACAGCAGAAGAGAACACACTCCATACTCCTACAGCTTATGTGTCTGGGTTTGGCCAGCTTGATTTCAATACCCTCACACCAAGAATTGTTTTCTTTTTTGGCCCAATTTGAAACCGCCCCCTACCCACTCCCACCCCGTGAAGGAATGACTGTCTGGAGTCTCTTTCACAGCAGCACGCGGCCCCCTTCCTAAAGGTGGAGGGAGTACAAACAGCAGCACGCTTTGGGACAAACTGCCCTCTCTCCAGCTGAAACAGGAAATGCTGTAACTTTTCATAACAACGGTTTGAAATCAGCATCTCTTGGACAAAAGACAATATATAATAACTCAAATAAAACTCCAAAAATCTGTAATGGCATTTATTTTGTTGTAAACCTCTTTTGTTAGGAGCTGCTTGGTTTTCCCCTAACCCCTACAAAACATGAAATGGTGGAATTGAGCATCCTTTTCCACTCAGATGAGTTATGTTCTGGTTCTGTGCTGGTGCTAGTTAGGATCTAAGTTGGCTCAGCTTGCTTACCACTTAAAACCAGTTTTCTTTTCACCAAGCAGAGCCCTCCAGCAGCCTCGTCGTGATGTCACAGTTCATGTCGCTGCTACAGTATGTAGTTCAGCGGCATTAGCCCCCTGCTGCAGTGGTTCGCTGCTGGTGCTTCACTTATGCATATTTCCCCATTAAAGTGTTTTTGTTTCAGTTTGAATGAACAACATTTGGCAACACAGTGCTGTGAATGAAGGTCTGTGTCATGTGAAGTTCCTCTCCTATGATGTCACTGAAGCCTATAAACTATTACATGCTGTTGATCAGCTACGAGGTAATACATCTGCATCACATATCACACAGACACTCCTAGGATTCTCTGGACTTCTGAATAAATGTTCATTTTTAGAATGCAGTGCTTTTTCTCTGAAATGAACCAGTCTGGGAAAAGATAGAAAGTTAAGAGACATGAAATACTGTATTCTTTCAGAAAGATCTTGTTGATGTTTTGTTGCACCTCAACATGTCAACACATGTAAATGTTTGACATTGATTTAAAGGGATTTTCCAGACATGGAAACTATCATACAGTATGTTTAGAGGGGGGCTTCTATGTGTTAGGTTTCAAGAGTTTTTGTCCAGAGGAACATCAGTTCACAGTGAACATGCAGGACAGCATCACACTCATCTGGAAACTCAATCAGCAGGGTTGAGTTTCAACACATCAGCATCGGAGAGTGAACCTGCAGAGCGTGAACAGCCAGAAACAGACAGGTAGAAGTGGAGGCAGACCCTCAGATCCAGACAGCACCACCACAGAAATGAGCTCAACACATTCAACCCCACTGCATAGTGACATCACTCAGATGTTATCAAAGCTATGCTATCTAAAACATGCAGTTCACCCCGCATCCAAGCACTTTATGTTTAACTATAACTTACAAATAAGTTCCAAATACTGCTGCTGCTGGTTTACAGAGCACTGATTGCTCAAATATATTTCTGATCTCCTGCTAACTTATGAACCATGTCTGCTTTCTGTGCCCAGAGTCAAACTAAACATGGAGAGGCAGCGTTCAGTTATTATGCTCCGTATATCTGGAACTCCCAGAACCCTGCAGGTCTGCTGTCACTCTAACCGCTTTCAAATAAAAGCTGAAGACTTACATGTTTCTGCTGCCTTTCATTCAAACAAAGAACTCTCATATCTCACACTGAACTCTACCATTTATTCTAGTATTTTATACCCGGCTTGTTACATTTTGTATTCCCTTGGCTTTTAAATGCTTTTAATGTTTTTTTAAACGCACTAGAAGGCTTTCATTTGCCTTGTTCAGTACATGTGCTCTTATATTAAAGTTGCCATATTTGTTAAGTTCGACTGATGTCACTAATGGAGGGATCGGTTCATCCTCTGTCAGTTACCACCACCAGGTTCTTAAAGAACACCCAGAGACCCCGTGCAGGAGCGTTACACTAACCCCCCTCTGCTCAGGCTTTCAGCTCATTACCTGGCCGGGCTGCTTCGGGCCCTTATGGGCCTTCTCTGGGGGGCCAGAGGGGGACGTGTGGCAGGACCTGGTGAGGGGCCTCTGAGCAGAAGAACTGGAGCTGTAGGTCTGCAGAGGAGAGAAACACACAGACAGGAAGTTAGGACAGACTGGCGGGACTAGGACTGATAAGGAGGAAACATCATTTCACCCAAGCAGCACATGGAGGGAAAATGTACAATTGAGTAGTCTAAGTAAACTCTTTAGATGATATTAAAGAATATGACCAAAGACAGGATTGTATGAGAGGACTGTGCCGTCAATATGATCTGATATTTTTACTCTAGTGAATCCCTGAGGCACGATTCATGGAAGGGAGTGGCAGAAAGTCACAGAGAAATAATGTTCCTGTGAGTTCTAGGAACACTCAGTCTGAGCACAGACACCCCACACACAGATGGAGGGTGCAACGTTTGAACAGTTCCAAGGATCATTTCTTGAAGATAACACAAAAAGTGTTTATTGTTCATTTTAAACAGCCTATTGGGCATACGTCCCTTAAACCTTAAATTGTTTGTGTATCCTGGGGGGATACAGTCATTTGGCATGCTGTGTGCATGTGGAACATTGGTGTAATAACTCTGTAATAACTCTGTAATAACTCTGTAATAACTCTATAATATGGGTGAAATATTGGTGTTACCTGGGTTATACTGATCTAATAACAGTGCAGGTGTAATAACAGGAAAGAGAAGAAGAAGAGGAAAGAGGAGGGCAGAGGGAGGAGAGAGCCCAGCACCAGCCTACCAGCAGCCCACCAGCAGCCCACCAGCAGCCCACCAGCAGCCCACCAGCAGCCCACCACCAGCAGCAGGCAGAGCAGCATCAGACCTGTTTCATGGTGGAGCTTTTCCCTGTGTCAGGTGGAGGCTGTGGTTTGGACCTCTTACTCTGAGGTGGATTGGGGCCCTTGAGGACCTGAGAGGCTGGCCTCTTGGAAAGGCTTCTCTCCCTTTCCCGTTTGACTTTAGACTGAGCTCTGTCAGTGGAGTCCAAGGAAGAATCAGGGGACTGAGGCGGTAAAGACCCGATGCTGCAGGGGGAGGGGGGGCCCGCCATGCTGTCTACACTGATCTCCAGCTGTTTAATGGACTCTTCTAGACTGTCTATAGAGTCGAGCGTACTGTTGCAGGGCCTCTCTGCCCGGCCATGTGACTTTGAGGGTCTGCTGACAGTGATAAGGGACACCTGGATGTCTCTCTCACCAGAGTTGACCTGTCTGGGACTGCTGGTCTCAGACCTCTTGGATTCTTTTGTCTGCTTCTTGGTCTCCTTCGCTGACTTGCTGTCCAATACTATCTCTTCCTCTTCCTCATAGACAACAACCTCCAGAGTCTTCTTTCCTGTTTTGGTCGTCCCTGTTCGTATGGCCCGGCTAATTGCACTCAGTTTGTTTTTGGGGAACTTAAATTTGAACTTTCGTTTGGTCTCTGGCTTTTTAAGGAAATCTGGTTCACCCTGGTCCTGGTTTTCAGGTATTGTGCTGCTACCTGCTGAAGGTCTTTGTTGTTGCATGTGTAGAGATATCTGACCATTTCCTGTGATCTCTAAACCCGTGTTGATGTCACTGTTGCCAATTTTTCTCATTTCCTGTTTGTCTTCTTCATAATGAAACTCATCTTCATCCACAACACTTTCTGTAGAAAGAATCTTATCAAGATGTTCCTCACTTTCAAAGATGGTAGACAGACGCTTGTAGGCTGACTGGATGTCCATAGGCTCATTCAAGATCACAATTATAGGTTTCTTATCAGAGTCATCACTGTCCTCAAAACCTTGGTTTTCATACGAGACATAAGTGAGTTCACCATTGCTGTCCCCAGACCCAGACTGTGTGTCAGGGCCATCCAAGACTCTGTGGCTCTTGGTGATTATCAGGTGGATTTGACCTGTGGGAGGTGGAGGAGGAGGAGGAGGAGGAGGTCCCTCATTGTCCAAACTATCAGGGCTCAGATTCCCTCCTTCCTCTGTGTCCCGGGACCTGTCCTGGGATGTGTCCTGGGATGTGTCCTGGGTCGTGTCCTGGGTCGTGTCCTGGGTCGTGTCCTGGGAAGGCTGCAGGTTCTGCTGCCTGCTGCTGTGGCTGACCGTCCTGCTGGGGGACATTTTTGGGACATGTGGAGAAGTTACACACTGATCTAAGCTAAGGAGTTTCTCCTGGGACTGTATCAAGCCATCCTTGGGGGAGTCTTCTTTCTCATATGTTTCTGCTACTGTCATATTTGACTTCTCCTCAGCTGGTTTCTCTTTGACAGCTTTTTCTTTTGTGGCGTCAGGACCTGTGAGGTCAGTGGCTTGAATGGTTTCTTTATGTAGAGTAACAATGGTGGTGACCTTCCTTTTCTCTGCTGTGGTAGGTGAACTCATTTGACCAACACACTCCTTATTAATCCGATCAGGACTTTTCAAAGTAAGAACATTTTCTTTATGTGAAGTTATAGCTGTAAGAACCTCCACCTTGCCTGCTTTCTTATGGGTTGGTGTTGGTACCTCCTTCCTCTGGGCAGTCTGAGCATTTTGTACAATCTTCTCTACTGCTGCACAGTTTAGGGAATACCCTTGTTTAACCAGACTCTCCTCCAGTCCTTTTTTCTTATGAGAATGTACATGTTCTTTACTAACTTCAATTTGTTCTGAAATTCCCATCTGATGAGCTGATTGGTGATCATATGCTGCCATCATTGAAGGCTTCTGATTGGCCACCTGAGACATCTCTCCATTCCATTGTTTATTTCCACCTGGCAAATGAATACCTGACAGTGCTTTAGTCACCTATAATAGAAAGGGAAACATTAAACACTTTGTTAAATGGGGGTAGGTTTCCCAAAAGAAGACAGGCATGGAGGTTACAGAAAGGAAGCACCAGTTTAGTTTCATGAAGTCTTATCACAAATGAGAAATAAAATAGAATATCCACAGCTTGTTTTTTCAACGAATATTAAAGCTATTTGGTCATGTTTGTTTGTATGAATCTATAGTCATTACACATGCTGTATCTCATACAATACAAATGTGAACACAATAATCAGTAAACAGGCTTTAGGAGAACACAAGTGTGCATCTCTACAGGCCCAGACTGTACTGTACTTTTGGATTCACGCTCCACTGAGCAACTTTCATAGTAATTAACAAAGGCTCGCCTCCAGCGCTGGATCCTGTTCTCTTCTCTATTTACACATTGAAATAAACTCTTCTATCTTCAAATGGTAGCACTTATTTTCTAAACACATTGATTTAACCAGATCATTTATTTCCACCTCATTGACCACACATAGAAGCCTGTAATACAGGCCGTCATAGAGTCAGAAATTAAGATATAACCTTTTGTGTTTGGTGTTCAAGTGTTTTATTAAAAGTGTGAATGGTATACGGTTGCGGTTTTTAATCAATTTGATTTTACTCAAGATGGAGTGTTCATCAAGGACATTTATAATTGTTTTGTTTGAATGCTACAGAATGGTATAAATATAGTACATTACATTACATTACACTTCATTTGTCAGATGCTTTTATCCAAAGCGATTTACAATAAGTGCATTCAATCAAACGCTTACAGCTAGTCCAAAACGCGGCTGCACGTTTGCTGACTGGTCACAAAAAGCGCGACCACATCACCCCTATTCTGGCCTCATTACACTGGCTTCCAGTTCGGTTCAGAATTGAATTTAATAGTATTATTTGTTTTTAAAGCCCTAAATGGGCTGGCTCCGGCCTATATAGCTGAACTGCTCCAGTGCTACACCCCAGCCAGAGCTTTAAGGTCTGCTGACCAGCTGCTGCTGATAGTGCCCAAGACCAGGCTAAAAACCAGAGGGCACCGAGCCTTCGCAGCAGCTGGCCCTAGGCTCTGGAACACTTTGCCCCTCCATGTGAGGTCGGCCCAGACCCTAGGGGTTTTTAAATCCACATTAAAAACACACTTCTTCTCTCTGGCTTTCTAATTAGAGCGGAGCACGACTCCTGACTTTTCCGTGTGTTTTATTCTTATTTTGTTTTTTAAAGTTATATCTGTTGTAATTTATTGTCGTTTATTGTGTTTTATAGTAATGTGTTTTTTTATTACATGTACAGTACTTTGGCTCGACCAAAAATCGCTTTTAAAATGTGCTTTATAAATAAAACCTGATTTGATTTGATTCAACCAGGAGAGTACAGAGTAACAAGAATCATGTAGCAGGGATGCAAACTCATCAGGTATGAAAAAGGTGACAAGGATCCGACCCCCCCGACCCCACGGAATATCGGCTTTAAAATGAGGAATAACAGATGATTTTAGCAGTCAGAACAACTAAAGCAGTTAATAACAGAAACGCCAAAGAGTCACATCTAATAGAAATATATAAAAGCATTTATTTTAATTGTGTAGCAGTCAGTTTATAATTTTGGCAGCACTGTTGAGCATTTTGAAAATGTATTTTCATGCCTCTGTGCAAGGCTTAGTCTTTCTATCTGTATAGCCAGTGGTGTAAAGTAACTAAGTTCATAAACTCAACAAGTACTATACTTGGGTACAATTTTGAGGTACTTTATTTAAGTAGTCAATGTGTTGCTACTTTGTGCTTCTACTCCACTACAGTTCAGAGGTAAATGGTGTACTTCTACTCCACTACATGTATTTAATACCTTTAGTTACTTCACAGATGTGGATGAATGATGTGAAATATAATCAAGTGTTAAATCAGACTTTAGTTCCACCTGGAGTAAATTCACAAGCTACCCTGCAGTATACAAAGTCATTCAAACTAACTGCACCTTTACCAGCTTTGAGAACACTTCAATGATCAATCATTATAAAACATATCATATATATTATTCTGAAATGGACCAATCTGCACAACGACTACTTTTACTGTCGCTACTTTAACTATATTTTGATGAGAATACTTTTCTACTTTTACTTGAGGAACATTTTGAATGCAGGACTTCTACTTCTACTTTTACTCAAGTACAAGACCTGAGTACTTCTACTTTTACTCAAGTACAAGACCTGAGTACTTCTACTTTTACTCAAGTACAAGACCTGAGTACTTCTACTTTTACTCTTTTAAAACGATTTGAAAACGAAGGCTAAAGCTAACGTTAGCAGATAGTGACAATGTATGCTAGTTAGCTAGCTCAACGATAATATTGCGACAGGAACACTTTTCAGTGCACATCACGCTCTGCCGCTCCGACAGGGAGCTCTGCTCTGAACACCTGAACGGCCCGTTCTAACAGCTGTTCACCAGCGGTCCAGTCTGTGCCACAGTGACTCCGGACCGCACAGTTAATATTAACGAACGCACCGTAGGTAATGTAGCTGCTGAAGCTAGACCATCATCCCGGAGCAGCAGAGCCTTATTATACATCCATGAGCAGAGACGACAGGCAGGAAGACTCGAGCACACAGCTCGCGCTTCATTATAATATATAAAAAAAGAACACCATGCGTGTCATGATGGCACATAACACGCATACCCCAAAAATATTTTTATTGCAGATCTACATGAATCACACAAACGACCTATTTTGGATTCAAAACGGCGAATTTCGCCGAAAGGTGACAAGTTTGCATCCCTGATGTAGGTACATTAGTTTGAACTATGCCAAACCATTCGAAGTGCTAGTACATTAGCTTCAACAAAGCCATTCCGTTCTACGAGCTAATACCTTAGCTTCAACTAAGGCTAAGCCAATCCGTTCTAAGTGCTAGTACATTAGCTTCAACTAAGCCAATCCATTCTAAGTGCTAGTACATTATTACAATATGTATAGAGATTTAATTGGCCGAGGTGCAGTCGAAAAAGGTGTGTTTTCAGTCTGCGACGGAAGATGTATAGACTTTCTGCTGACCGGATGTCGATGGGGAGGTCATTCCACCATTTAGGAGCCAGAACAGCAAACAGTCGTGTTTTTGTTGAGGTGTAGTGATGGAGTAGCGAGCCGGTTGGTCGATGCAGATCAAGTGAGCGGGTTGGGGTGTATGGTTTGACCAGGTCCTGTATGTAGGATGGGCCTGATCCATTCACGGCACGGTAGGCGGATTCGGGCAGGTTGAAAACCAGTCGAGCTGCTGCGTTCTGGATGAGCTGTAGAGGTCGGATGGCACATGAAGGTAGTCCAGCCAGGAGGGAGTTGCAGTAGTCCAGGCGTGAGATGACAAGAGCCTGGACCAGAATCTGCGTTGCCTTCTGGGTCAGTAGGGGGCGTATCCTCCAGATGTTGTAAAGTGTGTATCTGCAGGAACAGGTTGTCGCAGCGATGTTGGCAGCGAAGGACAATTGGTCGTCCAGTATCACACCCAGGTTCCTTGCAGTCCAAGTCGGCGTAACAACTGAGTTGTCAATGTTGATAGTAAGTTCATGGACGGGAGAGCCCTTTCCAGGAAGGAAGAGCATTTCTGTTTTATCGAGGTTGAGTTTCAAGTGATGTGCAGACACTGAAAGATGTTGGCCAGACAAGCTGAGATTCGTGCGTCCACCCCGGTTTCAGACGGGGGAAAGGACAGGATCAGAGTTTCGTCTGCATAGCTGTGGTAGGTAGGTCACTTTTCTGGACCATGATCTTTCCTTGGCCTGAGAGATTCTGTCTGTGTTCAACTCTGTAGTAATTGTATTTTAAAATACATTAATCTAAGTTAACTTTATTGGTAGATTTCCCCCAAATGTTATGGATGGGTAAGGTTTGTGGTTGTTTTGTGTCTAAATATCTCAAGTATAACCATCTCTTTCTCCCTCTCTCTGACATACAGTACTTCCGGTTATTACTCACGAACTGTGTGGAACCTTAATTAATTACACATTCGATAGGTAAACCACTAAATGGGCCCAAAGGTGCCTCCTGTGTTTCTTTTCATCCTTTTTTCTGTAAATAGTATCTTAATAGTATAAAACATTTGTGATATCATATAAATCTGTATATCCATAAACACAACAGTGTTTAAACAAATGTTCATTAACTCATCTTTTCATTAAACATGGGGGTGTGTATGTGGGTCGATCGGGCCCTGAGTGAAATGAATAACCCTTGACCGGAATTATCAGAATTATTGATGTATAGATAATTTATAATCAAGGTAAATTCCATGACAGCAGCTCTATCTTGTGGCTATCTTTAATCTCACATATACAGCATATCCTGTAAAAGTATTGACTGCCGATTTCAAAGAATAAATGGGTGCTAAATATGTTTTCCAGCTGCTCTAACATATTCCTGAAATTGAGTTTTAGGAAACCACATACCTGCAGCTCTTTCATGAACTTGTCGTCTTCCTCCTCTTCCTCCATGTGTGTCGGGGCTTTAGGAATGGTGATGGTGGGTTTGGGTTTCACCTCTGGGGGCTGTCTCCAGGGTTTGGGCTGAGGAACCCCAGGAGGCTTTTTCTCACTGTCATCCTTAAACAGATTCAAGTCACACACAGAGTGAATCCACTGCTCTGTTATTCTTCTGTCTGATTATTGAAAGCCACACAGCTTTCAGTATTATGTGGTGTGTGTTTGCAGATATTTATTACGTTTCCAGAGGCTACAATCTTACTTCAACTTCTTTAAGGCTATGTGTGAATAGTGGGGCAGACATTGGGGATTATACTGTGGCTAAATTGATTTAAAAAAATCTAAAAATGTCTTCATACCCAAATCACACTAATCTCCTCTTTTTGATGGCAAGGGAAGACTCCTAGAATTAGGAGAGAGCTTTTACAAAGGCACAGATCTACAGGAGGATTGGCGCTTCCAAACATAAGACACTACTATTGGGCAGCCAATATCCACAAAATAATTCTATGGATTAAGGAACCAACATTGAGTTGGTGTGAGCTTGAAGCCAAATCCTGTCCTACTACCTCACTTTTGGCTTTGCTTACATTACCCAGCCGGCCGACTCAATATTCGAATAACCCGATAGTTGTTTCCACCCTAAGAATATGTTCCCAATTTAGAAGTGCTCATGGACTTCATGGATCCTCTATTCATAGTCCCATTCGCAACAACCATCTCTTTCTCCCCCCTTACGGCCCCTACACACGGCGGCGTGCGTTGAAGCTTGCCGGCGGGCATGTCTGACGCTCGACCAACAACCAATCACATGAATCTCCCGCCCCGGACACACAAGCAGCGGTTTGATTGGCTAGAGCTTGTACTGGCATATGATTCGATTGGCTGACGCTTCCGTTGAAGCTTCAAAAGTAGAACATTGCTCAACTTTTGAAGCGAGCAACGCGAGCAAAGCTACGCTTTGATCCCACAATGCAGTTCGGCGAAGTGTGACGTCACCCCATTCAAAGTGAATGGGCAGAAGCGTTGAAGCTTCAACGCACGCCGCCGTGTGTAGGGGCCGTTACACTGATGGGGCCTTCTCTATGTGGCAGAGATAAGGCTTTATCAGAGTAAGGGACCTTTACATTAACAATGTTTTCGGTAGCTTTAGCCAACTCTCTGACAAATTTAGCCTCCCAGACTCTCATCTATTTTGCTACTTCCAGGTCCGTAACTGGGTTAAACTAAATAACCCTTCATTCCCCAATATCCCTCCGGATTCAATAATTGACTCAATTCTGGACACTCTAACAACCGAAAAAGGTCTGGTTTCAAGAATTTACAATTCCGTCTCCCGTCTCACAGAAACATCTCTTGGTAAAATCAAACAAGATTGGGAAGAGGAACTAGTCCAAGCAATAGATGATGATGTCTGGGATTAGCGAGAATGAACAATAGTACGTCCTGTGCCAGGCTCAATCTTATACAACTAAAAGTTGTCCACCGTATCTATTACACCAATTCTAAACTCTCCAAAATATATCCAAATGTCACGGATACCTGTAACAGATGTCACATGTCACCAGCAAACATGACTCATATGTTTTGGTCTTGTCCTCGCCTACAAGGATACTGGACAAGCATTTTCAAACACCTTGCTGAGGCCTTGGACGTGGTATTGACACCATGTGCAGAAACTGCCATTTTTGGAGTACTACCTGGCCACCGAATGATGAGGAGGAAAACTAAGGACAGTATAGCCTTTGCATCTCTATTAGCACGTAGAAGAATACTCCTTGAATGGAAATCCTCAATAGCACCTACAGTAAAGCATCTCTATGGCTTAAAGATGGCTACTCATCTCTTTCGACTCCACTTCGAGCAATAAAATGACGAACAAAGCACTTATATACTAATAAAGGACTTATCTAAAGCCAGTTGAGTAGCACTTGAAATGTTTTAGCTCTATGAAACCTGATGTACTTATATGATTCTGTTTCTTCAAGTTTGTATCTTCTTGGTCGAATGCACTTATTGTAAGTTGCTTTGGATAAAAGCGTCAGCTAAATGCAATGTAATGTCATGTAATTAAAGATGTAATGTTATACCTGAACTTGGAGAAGATTAAATATAACCTGAGGGGTTCTTCAGAAATGTTTGAATCTGTCTGGGGCTCTGTGATAGCCTACATAGCTGAACTTAAGTCGGTGAGTTAGGAAGAAAGGCGGGACTATGAATGTATTTTTTTATTTTTTTTTATATACATGTATGTATGTACGTGTTTGTATGTGTATGTGTATGTCAGGGTTTCCGTTAGCCGGTAATTACCGGTTTTTAGCTGGTAAAATGTATTAAAAAACGGTAAATTCAAAACCTGCCGGTCAAAATGTCCGGTAATAATTAGGGATGCTCCGATCGATTGGCCGCAGATCATTATGGGCCGATATTCACTCTTAATAGTTTGATCTGTACTCTCTATAAAGGCCGATCAGGAGAGCTGGATCTGATCCATATGGATATAAACGCGAGTGAAGTGTAACCGGACGAGAGAGAGATCAGATCAGCTGCTGCATAATCACCTGAAGCCCCGCCCACTGTTTAGCGTGCTGCTGAGTCTGACGGAGACAGGAGAGAGAGAGAGAGAGAGAGGAAAAGAGAGGATCCGTTTCTCCCGTGTTATTATTCAAAGTTAATGTAAACTTTTGAATAATGTACTTCATCTACTACAAGTAGTTTGTTTGAATGTAATAATTATGTTGTTTGTTGTTTGTGGAATCATTTATTGAAAAATGAATCTGAACTTTTCGATCTGTTACGATTACAAACTGAAGCAATATAAAAACGAGCCCCATTAACTGAGTTTTAAACATCAGAATATCCGGTCATAGTCCGGTAATTACCTGCTAACGGAAACTCTGCTACACAATTATTATTATTATTATTTAAACATGTCCAGTAAAATAAATTCTTTCCGGACATTTGACCGGCAAGAAAAAATCCTACCGGAAACCCTGGTGTGTGTGTATTTTTTTTATTTTACCTTTATTTAACCAGGATAGGTCTCATTGAGATTAAAAATCTCTTTTTCAAGAGAGTCCTGGCCCAAGAATGGTAACAGCACAGTTTCAGACAGTTTTACAGTTACAGACAATTAAAAAACACAATCACAACACAGTCATACTACACCAAGTTTAGCCAAAGCATTTACAGACACAGCGGCCTGCTTCAAGGTCAGTTAAAGTTGCTTTGAGTGTTTCTAATGAGACCAGCTCTCTGAGTTTCAGCTCAGTTTGAAGCAGGTTCCAAGCTTGAGGGGCAGCGTAACTGAATGCCCTTTTCCCCAGTTCAGTACGGACCTTTGGTACAGTTAAAAGGAAAAAGTTCTCGGAGCCGATAAGATCCTGTGCATTTTCTATTTATGTACATCCTTAGATAAGGGGGAAGAGCACCAAGAATAGCCTTATATATAAGGATGTGCCAATGTTTCAGTCTACGCGTGGTCAGGGAAGACCATCCAACACGAGTGTATAGATTGCAGTGGTGCGTCAAGGATCTGAGGTTTGTGATGAATCTCAGTGCACCGTGGTAGACGGTGTCCAGCGAGTGAAGGCACTGAGAAGATGCATTCATATAAACCACATCTCCATAATCCAGCACAGACAGAAAGGTTGCAGACTCTAGTCTCTTTTTGGCCTCATAGGAAAAACAAGACTTGTTTCTAAAGAAAAAACTTAATTTTATTCTTAATCTTTTCAAGAGTTCCACAATGTGTGGTTTAAAAGAGAGCGAATTGTCAATTATAATTCCAAGATACTTATACTGCAACACAGATTCAATCTCCGTCCCCTGCAAGGTGGTGATAGGAGGAAGGTTCAAGACCTTGGGTTTTGCTTTCGAGAACATCATTAGCTTTGTCTTGGCAGCATTTAAAACAAGTTTCAAATCACACATGTTGGATTGTACAATGTTAAAAGCATTCTGGAGCTGACAAAGAGCCTGCTTCGGGGTGGACGCAGAACAATAAATAACTGTATCATCAGCATAAAAATGCAAATTTGCATTCAAAACATTGTTATTAAGACTGTTAATGTAAATAATAAATAACAATGGTCCTAAAACAGATCCCTGTGGCACACCCTTGGATACCTGAAGAGATGTTGAAGTTAAGCCTTCTGCCCGCACACACTGTGATCTGCATGAAAGATAGTTCTCGAACCAACAGACAGCCTTACCTGAAAGACCAATACTAAGAAGTCTTTGTGACAGTTGATCCACTGTATGAAAAGCCTTTGAAAAGTCAATAAAAAGTGCTGCGCAATGCTCTCTATTGTCTAAGAAGTAAATAAGATCATTTACTACTTTTAAGGCAGCTGTTGTAGTGCTGTGTTTTTTCCTAAAACCAGATTGAAACTCAGATAAAATATTATGTATTGATAAAAACTCCTTCAGTTGGAAATTGACCAGTGATTCCAGTACTTTATTTAAAACACATAATTTGGAGATGGGTCTGTAGTTGTTCAGGAGAGTGGGGTCACCCCCTTTTAACAGTGGGAGAACAAAAGCAGATTTCCAAATAAGGGGAATTTCGTTTGTCTCCAAGGACAGATCTTTTTAATAAGCCAAGGGCAAAGCTATAAAATCAGCTGCTAACTTTAAAAAGTACGGCTCCAGGTTGTCAGGACCTGCTGATTTTCTTGGTTCCAAACTTTTCAGGGCTTTATGCACCTCTGAGACTGTTACTGGAATCAAATTAAACGGTTCACCCTCCCAGATACCACCGTCAGAGCGATCAGTGGCTCCTTGAGCTATGTTCTGCGAGGTAAACAGCGAACCAGAAGCAATAAAATGTTCATTAAAACAACCAAGCATTTCTGCCTTATCAGAGATTTGAACAGAGTCCTCCTTCACAATGCAATGTGGAAGCTCTATAACATTTTTGTTTCCAGCTAATGATTTAATAGTTTTCCAGAATTTAAGGGGATTATTTAGGTTGTCTGAAGTTTCAGTTAGGAGATGATCCGCTTTGGCTTTTCTGATTTTAACGGTAAATGCATTTCGCAGCTGCCTGAAGAGCAGCCAATGTGACCCAAGACCTGTACTCCTGGCTTTTGACCATGCCACATTGCGCTCGTGTAGTA